CATAATTGTTTAAACTGAGTTTTGAGAAAGTAAAGAGGAGTTTGAGAAAGAGCTTAACCAAGATTTAAGCAAGAGTATAAGGGAATAAAGTATTTTTCCCAAATGTTTCATTTTTACATGAAGAAAAAGAATAATTTTTTTTGAGAAAAGTTAAAAGAATTTTCAGAAATATTGACTACAGTGCAATTACCTCTTAAAGAGGCCCCTTTTGAGTAATTATCTCAACCCGGAATGTATTTTTACATTGAGCAAAGAGAAATCTTGTTTACTAAATGAGCAATGAGTTCCAGAGATACTTCAGAGTAGTTACCTCTTTTAATAACATAGTTTGAACAGTTATGTGAAACTAGAGAAAGAGTATGGGGGAGAGTTCAGACAACTTACAACCCCCATAAACCATGTCTTGCCAACATTGGTACATGATCATACTTTTTAGATAAATCCTTAGTGCTTTCGGGCAGAGTTTAGTAGATCCACTTAGTTGAGAGGTTCTATATCTCGGCATGCTATAGGAAAGTTCTGGCAGTGTGAACAAGACGTTGTATCGTCACATAGCTCAAAGTGATGGTTGCCGGTTAGAGAGTCTCCCGATAGAATTAAAGTTTATTTTTATCTATCACTTATTATGCTGACTTCAGAGATGAGCAAGTGCTTTCTAAAGCTTTAAATGATGACATCATTTGACCTACATCTTTTTATGATATAGATTTAGGTGTTCAGGATCATCAACAAGCGCTTCGTTGAGATCACTCTACACTCTAGCTAGCTTTTGGTGAGCCTCCTTGTAATCTGGAGGACTTCACATTTACTTTCTAGTTAGTAGTTTTTGTGATGTTGTGGGTCTTCTCTTGGCATCCTTCTTTAATAGTAGAGGCTTCATAGATAGAAAGAGTCTAGGAGTCTCTCAGTACTTTCTTTCCTTTAAAGATGTTTTGTAAACTATTATAATTATTGCAATGAGTACTTTCAGATATTCGAGTTGAGTTTTATTTTGAGATCAAATTTTTTAAGCCTATTATTGTTTGAGTGAGTCTTCCGTTAAGTAGTCAGTCAGGCGAAGGGTTCGTTTTGGGATCAGAAATGATTCTCGAGTGTCAGCCATGTCTAGGGTGTATGCTCGGGGCATGACAAACTTGGTATCAGAGCACATAATTCAAGTGTTCTAGAGTGTCTATGAAGCCATGTCACTGGGATCTTTATTATGGTTGTGAGGCCCCCACTTCTATAAATGAGGGACTACATACATATAAGAAAAGTTTCCCTTCTTTCATACTCTAAATCGTGCAATAAAATTGTGTCATAAGGACCTTATTCGAACTCGTGCCTTTCTCAAATATATTCGACTACCCCTCATACTCAAGATGGTTGAAAAGCAAAGTTTAGATCCTTATAGATGAGTTATTCTTAGAAAAAGTCTTCCAAAAGTCATGAGACTTAACAGGGGCTTGAGAGAAGTCTTTAAGTGAGCTTAAGTGTATTGACTTGAAAGAATGCACCCTTATTCATATAAATCGTGCGTTCGAGCTAAAAGTGAGATGTACTCCCCAATTCTCTTCTCTAAACTTTATTTAGGTGAGACCCTTATGAGGGGAGTGTGTTCTAGAATGCTTGGGTAGTAATTTTCACCTGAAAGATAATATGTGTTGCTATGTTATGAGCCACTAGTAGGAGAAGTGCCCAGAGTTAGAAGAATGTATTTAGAGGTATAGTAATCTAAGAAAGAGAGATAGTGATGAAATAATTTATGTTGTTGCACTCATGCACCTAGTAAGTTATTAATAATGAGTTTTTCCTCATGGGTAGACTAAGAAGTGTTGAGTTTTTATAGGTTTCATTATAGAATGTAGAGTAAGAGTTACTAGTATGGATGAGTTAGAGTATACTTTAATTAGAAGGGAGTTTATGTCAATGTAACATTGTGTTAGTGAAAGACAAGTATATGTATTGAATAAAAGAGCAGATTATTCATGAGGTGAGAGATCTAAGCTAGACTTATGATTTCCATGATGTTTAGAGGGTTATAGAACTAATTTGGCAATAATGTATAGTAAATGGGTAAATAGTACTTAAGTTGTGAAAGCAAATGTGACGGTAAACTGTAAGTAAGTAGATTAAGAGATAAAGATTGACTACTTGTCACGACGTCTTAGTGGGCGAGTGTTTCTTAATTTTATCTAGTAGTCGTAAGTTAGTATGATATATGAGAAATTATATTTATATATGTGTTTAGTACTAGACACTTAGCTTGAATTTGAGATGGCTTTCATGAAAAAACAATGACAATAGGAGGGTGACGATGTTAGTTTTGAGATCTGATATGGTAGATTTGACATAGAGTAGGTGAAGAATTAATATGTTAGTTGCAATGCATGTGAATAGTTCAAGTGTGATGTTATTACCCTTACATGAGATAAATGAAGTATGATTAAGTCATTAGATTAGCAAGAGCATTGAGGGATTTACTCGGGATCGTATATAGTCAAACGAGGTTCTAATTAAGTTTATGCTTTTTTTTCATGCTTGCCTAGATAGTATAGTTGAGCTGTCAATGTAGTGTAGACTGATGTAAGCATTATTTATTACCCTTAAGAGTTTGGTCAAGGGGATCATATGTAGTCAATGTGGGTAAAGATTATAGAAGGACTTCTATAGAAGCAGAAAGAAGTTAAGTGAAACATATCAGAAAGAAGCCTTAGAATAAATCTTAGTACATGTACATGAATTGTTCAATAGCCACAAGATTAGCAATTTCCTAGTAAGTAAAGCAAATATAGACTAGTTTAGAGATGATGGAATAGATCCATAACTTTAAAGTATTAGCTTCAGACCTAAGGGAAATATGATAAGATGAGTAACCAAGTCAAATGTTGAGAATTAGATAGTAATGTGTTTAGAAAAAGTTAAAGTGGTATATCGATCCATTCATACTCTATCATATTTCTCAAAGTTCAGTCCTTACAACATCATGTTGATGTCTCTAATATCAGAATTGTGTTCATGACTTATGCTCATACACTTAAGATAAATTCACATCTATGCTCAGTTTCCAGAATGAAAGGTAGAGACTTAAGTCCAATGATTTCAATCTTACTCTATAAAGTTATGGATATCAGCCTCATGAATGAACATATTCATATAAGCATTCGTGTCTCATAGTATGCTCAATATTACGAATTCATGATTTACTCTCAATGGCTAGCAACATAATGTTATGTAATGTATATTCTTATATCAGATGTATTGAATGAATCACAGTTATGATCTTTCTCCCTAAGCTCTTTCAGTGATCCTTTTTCAACTTGATAGTGATGTTGCCGATAGTAGTTGAATAATGATAGTAGGAGAGGGTTGATATTTTTTTATTGTGGTAGTGGTGGTGTTCTTATTCCATCTAAAGTTATAATTTGGAAGAGGAATAGTGTTGAAGTTTGCTTTTAGTTACTGCAGTAACTTTTAGCAAAATAAGTTATTTAGTTTGAATAAATTTGAATTTTGAATTTTAGTTTGTTTGTTTATGTTGTTGAGATATTTTAGGTTGTTTAAATTTTAAATTATGCAGATTATATGTTTTATGTTGGTTATTTAAAGCCCCTCAATGCTTAATAAAATTATTGAAAGCTATTGAAAGTCATTTCAATCCATTGATAGACATTTTTAATCTTTTTGTGCTGCACCACTTTTAAGAAAACACCAACAGTGGTATCAGAGCTTCATTGATCCTAAGGGATCTGTGAAATCTTCCAAAGAACTACCATACATTTTTAACCTGTAAGAACTATCTTTTTAACCCATCAAGGCTATCCATTTTAACCCATCAAGGCTAACTTTTCAATCGGTGCTTTTTTCAACGCACAGGCTTTTCTAAATAATTTTTTAACCAAAATAATGGCAAGCAACAGTCTCTCTTTGAATGCCTCAGAAATTTTCACAGACGAAAACTATCAAATTTGGTCTATGAGAATAAAACCATATTTTGAAACATATGTGATATGTGAGGTTGTGATGGAAGAAAAACCCTTACAATCTCTCTCTGCAAATCATACAAAAGTTCATATTAAAGCACTTTCAAAAAAACTTCTACACAAGACAATGTCATCGCATGTGTTTTTGAAGAACAAAATCAAAAGAAGAAAAAGAAAAAAAAAGAAATTTTGCAAGTTCCAAAACAATGAAAAAAAATCCAGCATCAACTACCTTCGCAAAAATTGAGGAGGAGCATTTTTTTTCAATTGCAGTAACTAAAGCAAAAGAGGAGTGTTGAAGTTTGCTTTTAGTTACTGCAGTAACTTTTAGCAAAATAAGTTATTTAGTTTGAATAATCGGCACTGCAAATTAGATGATATACATAGGATTTCTGATTATGCTAATAGGGTTATAGGGGTTATTGGTTTGAATCAGAGTGTTTTTTGTCGATTCGATTCAAATTGGAAGTATTCTAGGATTCTTTTGGGTTTTAGGTTGAATAAGGGAACTAGGTGTTGCTCTATCAATGCAAATGTTGCATCTGATGTAAGGAATCATTCGACTTCAATCGAAGCTCAAGTTAATAAGAAGAGCTTCGATAAGTTTTACATACAAGGAGGCTTAAATTTGAAGCGTTTAGTCATTGACATAATAGAATCAGGTAAAGACGTAGCTAAAGTAGAAGAAGAAGTTAGGATAGATGTAAATGATGGATCAGGTGTAAATGTAAAGCATCCTGATAATTCACATTGGCATAATACATAAAAAGTGTCATTTGGTAGGCACTTAAACTTGTATAAAGTTGAACAAGTAAACACACGTGTCCTACTTGGCGTCCCACAAGGAAATCGGGTCCTATGCGACATCCTACATGTATTATGCCACGTAGGACACGTGTGTTTATTTGTTCAATTCATACAAGGATGATAACTTTTCTCTGAGTGTCCAGCTTTTCCTTTGGTAGTACTTGTTGAAATGCCTTCCCCATTCTTCTTGTTCTTCTTTTTGTTTTTGCCTCCATCTTGAGGCTTGGCAAACTATGCTCCCTCGATATTTCCTTCTTCTCTCACGACTCTTCGTTGTTCTTGGGCATGCAAAGCATTCAAAAACTCTGCGAATGTGATCATGGACAGATCCTTAGTGTTTTCCAAAGTAGTTATGGTTGCTTCAAATCTTTCTGGCATAGTTTCCAGAATCTTTTCAATAATACGTGAATCATTAAACACAGAACCAAGCAATCTTACCCTATTTTCTATGTTCAAGAGCCTTTCAGAGAAATCTTTGATGGTTTCTACTTCTTTCATCTTCTGAATCTCGAAATCTCTTATAAGATTTAACACTTGCATATCTCTCATCCTTTCATCCCCTTCATATTCTGCCTTGAGATAATGCCAGATGGCTTTGGCTGCCTTTAGAGACACAATTCAAGTGAAGATTGAAGAATCTACTCCTAAAAATAAACAAGCCTTTGCCTTTGATTTTATGGTTTTCCTATCTTTATGGTTCTTGATCTGGGCCATAGTAGGATTGTTAGGAAGCGGAGGGACTTCATAATCCTCTTCGATTGCCTCCCACATATCCATGGCATCTAGATAAGTTTCCATCCTTATCGTCCAAATCTGATAGTTATCACCATTAAAAACAGGTGGTGCCATTACTAAAAAACTTTATTCTGCTTCCATGATTGATAAATTTGTCTTATTGATTTCAATCCTAACTTTGATGAAACACCCACAGATCCCTCAAGAAATAAACGCTCCAATACCAATTGTTACAGAGCAGGAAGAACATAATAGTCTGGTTTCTCTTGTTACTGAACAAGTGGGAACATTAGTTTGATAAACAAGCAGAGAAATATTTATGAAAGAAAAACTACTTACCTCATTATGAAACAAATTAATTTATAGAGTTTACAAGGCAACAAAAATTAAGAAACCAACTCCTAAGGATTAGGGATAAGATTAGAAACTAACTATGAATCAGATAGAAACTAATTAACTGCTAAGCAATAAATAACTACCCTACAATACAGAGAACTTGGACTGTTTCAATTCTTATGCATATTTCTAACAAGATATAATTTCATCAGTAGAGTTCAACAGGATTGCATGTCATTCTTTGCCTAAGTTGCTCATGTTTTTTCGTAGTTTTGCTTTTGTTGTTATTTGCTTTAGTGCTTCTAAAGGTTGGCCCGGTGCACGAAGAATCTCTTTTACGCAGGGTCCAATGAAGGGTCGCATCTTAAGGGAATGTAGTGCAGGCAACCTATCTTATGCAAGATGTTGAATTTGACAACATCACTCCTATTTTAATTTGACCAAGCTTGTAGTATAGCTATTTTTTTAGCTTAGTTAATTATTTTGATATTTTAGTTAGTATTTTAGTAGCGGATAGCTTTCCCTAAAGTTAAGGAGAGTTAGGTTAGTGGATTTAAGTTAGTGGTTTTGTGGGATTGTGACTCTATTAAAGTTGTAATTCTATATAAGGTCATTAACTGAATAAATAAAAGTTAGTCCATTGTTCTTTTTCTCTGTAAATTATTTTCTCAGACTCCTCCTATTCTATTTTATTTTGAGCTTATTGTATCTTAAGTTCTTCATATAGTATTTAGATTAAGGTGGTTCCTTGGGAGATCATTTATTGTAGTTCTTTTTCCTGAGACTTTTGTTGCTCATATAATGACAGACCTACACGATGTCGGTGGAATGAAAAGCTCAACAACAACAACTACAGTACATGGTCAACTTGCATAATGTCTTACATTCAAGGATATGTGGGAGGTTGTCAACGGTAGTGAGGTGACACAACCAGCAGCAGAAGATGCAAATGGTACTGTGCGAAAATCAAAGATAAAAGCTGGTAAGGCTATGTTCGCTTTAAAACAACGACTAAAGAGGATGTGCTAGAGCACATACGAGACGCCACCACCCCGAAGCAGGCTTGGGATACATAATGATACGAGGATCCATCTCTTAGAGAGTGAATTACTCTCAATAGGGAAATGCAGCATGACAATTGCACAATACTTTCATAAGGTGAAGATGCTATGTCAAGAGATTTCAGAGTTAGATCCCAAAGCTCCAATTGGAGAGACAAGGATGAAACGGATTGTCATCCGTGACTTATCTATCAACTTTTCCACTATCACCCCAAAAAAACCAAACTCTGCCTTACGTAAAGTTGCAGAGTACGATTAACCTCTAGATTTGAAATCACTGCTTATGTACCTGATATTGGCCATAATTCACAAGAACATTCTGTAGTCTTAGTAAGAGGGGGGAGGGTTAAGGATTTACCCGGTGTGAGATATCACATTGTTCGAGGAACCCTAGATGCTGTCGGATTAAAGGATCGTCAACAAGGAAGGTCTGAAGCCTGAATATAGAAGCTTTATTGCTTATGTACAAGGATGATCCATATCCCAACACTTAAACACAAATACGACCATTCATAGACCAAAATGTAACAAATATAAAACAATAAACAACCTGATTCTCTCATAGAACCCACACACAAACTATTAGTATACCAGTGCGGTACCAAAGTCGACCAGTATTAGTATTTATACCAGACGTGGTATTCGAGTCAACAGTTAGTATTCATACCGTTGTGGTATTTGAGCAAACTTTTAGTATTCCTATAGTTGCATGGTACATAAGCATATCACAATCACAATCAATCACGCACAACACCATCACAATGAACAATAACACTTGAAACTCACAAGTAAAGTAAAAAGATTTATTACATGAGATTATCAAGACGATGTCAAATACATATCCTTCTCTTTGGTTTCCCCTACAGGCATTACAAGTGATACCCTAAAGCAGTAAACAAGCTTACACACATATATTAGACAACACAAATCACCTCTATATAAATGGCCTTATACTGAACCTAACAATTTCATAACACCCAACCTTACAATTACCATCAACCATCTCAGCAACAAAACTCAAGGTTAACAATCAAGAATTAAAGAATCTCCCTTTAGTCATTCTCTTTTCCAATCCTTAAGAGCAATAACAACAACTTTAACTATCAAGACGTCATGCCCGAAGGCCTATAAATGCAATATCTGTAAAGCTAGAATAAATAATAAGGTAAAAATAGGTTTATTCGCTAAATTTAGAAAAGATCTAGCCTACCTGGGTTCCACACATTAGTTGATGAACCTTGCCCATGAGCTTCCGATTTCGTGATAGCAAACCGTGATGAATGAGCACCGAAGTTCCTTGGGCTTTCACCTCCCATGCATTGCAATATCTACCCTCTATTTATCACATGCCCCGGGTGACTTTAGAGGGTTTTACAACTTCCCTCATGTGTTTTCTTCATTCAAAAGTGGGAAGAAAAATTAAAAAAATTATATACCTAGGTTGTTGAATTCCCTTCATCCCTCTATAGTGGTTGTGCAGGCGGTATTGAGGCACCACCATAGTTGGAAGCCTCCCACTATGGTAGGTTGATGTCAGTCCAATCAACTTCAAAACAAAGAAAATTTGTCGTGTGCTCAAATTTTAAAATTCTTTCGACAAAATTTTAGAATTTTTGGAATTTCACACGAGATGACCTCTAATAACAATGGATCGTGTCATTACAACTACACTGCTATATAGGGCTATACCTCAATGACCCTAAAATGTAACCCTGCTTTACAAGGTTAGGATCCTTTAGTGCCTCGTCGGATGGATGGTTGGTTACCAGGGGATCATTATTGAACCTGAGGGGTTTGGATATGGTTTATCTATTTTTTCATCTTATTATAGTGTTTGTTTTCTAATTCATGAATTTCACCTCCTAATATTTTAATTATTGTATCACAGGCTTAAACCTACTATTGTAATTATTTTTGATGTCGCATACTTGACGTAGGGTGAGATTCCACAATTAGCCCTGAGACAAATTTTTAATGAGTTTAAGGTAAATATGAATTTATTATTTAAATTTAAACTATGCGTATTATGATTCATTCCTAATGTGATATAATTCAAAAACAAATCTAGGAAAGTGTGTATGGCTTCCCCTTCATGATAAGTAGATCACAATTAACTTTGAGAAAAGAGCAGGTCATAGAATAGCAAACCCATTTTACGATGGTCGCATAAAATGTAGAATTCTCAAATGGTGTAAATCAAATATTGAGAAAGATCTATGCCGACAATGGAGTAGTCATAAGTTGATTAAGAAGAGGAGAAAACAGAGATCTAGTTAATCTTTATGCTCACCCTTGTTGTTTTTCTGCTTTTACATCTGCAAGTTCAAGTGCCACACTAGTTCCTTTTTTCCTAGTTTGAGACACTTAGTATTTCAAGTGTAGGGGAGCAAACCGTACACTAATCGTGGTGGAGCATTTACTCTTTTTTTCTTTCTTTTAGGTATTGCTTGGTTATGCCCCTAGACTTTTGTATTTTTATTTGAATAAGATACTTCTTCACTAGATTTTGAGATAGATTATGATATCTTAGTGTTTCTGGATATGAAGTCATTTTCGTGCTACTATTGTTCATAGTGGATATTCTATTTTGTTGGTAGATTGTTTGATGGATTACATAACTATTGGGATGCTTCTGCTATAGTAGATTCTTAGCAAAATTTTCTATTGATATTTTGTATCTAATAAGATGAATGTTGGTTCACTTGACATGTATAGGTGCTTGTTGAGTGTCAAACATGATTGTTGATGGGAATTTTTTTAAATTTATTTTCTATTTCATGATAAAGGATAAGTCTCAATATTCCTTACATACCATGTTCATAAAGGTTGAAAACATACCCCGATATCACCATTCAAAATTCAAATGATTAATAATTATATCCAAGGATATTAAATATAGAATAAAATTAATGCTTCTCCATAAAAAGGTGAAAATATCAAAATTGAAGCAATAATTATGTCTCGAGTTTTCCTCTTCTCGATTAAGCAACAAATTTTGAAATCAACTATCATATTTCATTTATATGTTATTAATGATTATCCTATTCAATTACTTGATCATTGGTGCATCATAATATTCTCATCTCGACGAGACTAAAATCACTAATAAAGGCAGATACAAAATCATACTTGAAGCTCAAATTGAATGATGACTTCAACGTGCTACAATACAAACCCCCTTGAGTAGTTCTTTAATATAACAAAACTAAACTATATTACCCTAATTTATATGAAACTCGTTAAAATTAATAAACAACCATTAGATTCAAGATTCGAACTTCACTTTGAAATTAAATAAATTTGATTGTTCCACTATGTTGACGATACCTCATGTTTGCTAGGATCCCCCTCTTATAAATGCTCAAGTTTTGTTTCTCTGTTTGTTCCTCTTCTTAAAAAAAAAAACTTATGATTACTTCATTGTTGGCAAAGATCTTCGCAAATACTTGGTTTACACCACTTAGGAATCCTACCTTTTTAGCGATCATTATAAATGAGTCTGATATTCTATGACTTACTCTTTTCTCAAAGTTAATTGTGATTTGCTTGTCATGAGGGGGAAACAATACACACTTTTCCTAAAATTATTTTCAAAATATCTCACATTAGGAACGAATCACAATACATATAGTGCTTTATATGAAATAATAAATTCATATATTTGTTAAACTTATTAAAGGTTTGTTGCGTGACTGATTACAGAATCTCACCCCATGT